CCATAGTCCCACCTCTGAGCCTATCCTGTTAACAAGGTCATGGGATGATGTTTTGGGATGCGGATGAAAATGAAGTAGATGTGCTGAAGGCTGCCCTGAAATGAGCCTGCTGTAGCTATTGATGTGAGTCTAGCCCTGATCATTAACAAATACGCAGGTTTCCAGAAAAAAGGTAGAATCTATCCATGTTCCTTGTTTACAAATTGTGAATGCTATGTCACAATTCTAACCCTGGTATTTACATATCAAGATACTCACACAATACTCAAAGTCTTCCCAAGGAAAATGTAGAGGTTTCACAACAGGAGAGATAGCAGACAGACACACAGACACACATACACACAGGTATGGTTTCAGTTACACTGCTCATTTTAAGAAAGTGATAAACTAGTAAAGTGGAATAGAATGATTTACAAATGGTAACATTTATTGGACAAGACAGTATGTAAAATCTATTAAGTGCCTTGTTATATACAGGATGAATATCCCTTAACTGAAATGCTTAGGACCAGATGTGTTTTAGCTTTTGGATTTCGGAGTATTTACAAACACACAATGAAGTATTTTAGGGACAGAACTCAAACCTAAACACAAAATCCATTTAACTTTTATATGCACCTTATTCATACAGCCTTTAGGTTATTTTATCCAATATAGCTAGTATGTCTGTGTTTTAACTTCAAGCTGATACATGAGGTCAGGTGTAGAATTTTTCACTGTGATGTCATGTTGGTGCTCAAAGTGTTCAGATCTTGGAGCATTTCAGATTTTAGATTTTTGGATTAGGTGTACTTACGCTGCATTGAAGGACTCCAGTAAGTACTTCTGTAATGGAAGGATGGGGTCCAGTGCTGTGATAAGGATACTATATGTAATTACTCAGCATGCTATAGTTTAAATACATTTGTTATTCCTTTTTAGTCTTTAGGTGCATAAAAGTTTCATATGCAAGACTTTCCTGCATACAGAACAAAGGAAAACAAATATAATAATAGTAATAACAAAAACAATTACCTAAAACACCATTACTAAGAAAACTAAAATGTACAACATAGTGATGGTGAGGCTTTTACAAACTGATTTTCATTTTAACTTGTAATATGTGTCAAACCCAAAGAAGTCATGGGTAAAGTTTGCCATCATTTTTATTTTAAAACAAAGATGTGCATTTTTGTGACTACGACCTCATGTACCCAGACAGCCTTGGGGTGCCTGCCAGCTTGGCCTTCCACCTGCTGCAGAAACATGAGCTCACTCATGCCTGCAAGTCTGTAGAGAGCTCAGAGTCACAGAGATTCAGAGTTCAACACTCCAAAAGGCTGAGTACCTATTGGGGACACAGCAAGTGCCCTCAGACAATAACAGTTGTTAGTTTTTAAATAGGCTCTGGGAGACTTCGGAAAGAGGCCTCTATTGATTTTTAAAGTGTGTGCGTGTGTCATATGCATATGTGTGTGGGTTTAGGCAGGAAAGGAAAGAAAGATGGTGAATAAATGAAATACATCACATCTGTGTAAGAATAAGATACAAGGAAACATGCCGAAAACCGTTAAAACAACACAGGATGGGGGAAAAAGGGCAAGGCAGTACAGTGGATGGGGGTCACACTGATTTAAGCATAATGCCTGGACAGGTATAATACCAAGGCAAACATTCCACTGACCAATGAACCTAAACAACGAAGAATAAAAATGAAAAACAGGTCACCCTAATGGGAGGGTACTATGGAAGAGGGAGGGTAGAATCAGGAAGAAGGTGAATATGGGTGATGTACTTTCTACATAAGAATGAATATATAATTTTTAAACCTGGTGAAATCATCATAAGAAGAGTACTAAGGTAGAAAGGAGAAAAATGGAGGAGATGAACCAATTAGGGATACAATACATATATAAATGGAAATATCATAATGATACTCTCTGTATAGATATCTTATACAAAAATGTCTTTTTAAAAAACAACAGAAGGTGGGAAGGTAAAATAGGTTCTGTCTGGGCATTTGTGTCAGTGGGAAGGGGAAGGATATAAGGAAAGTGTATAGGATGGTGAATGTGGTAGAATATTATACACTCATGTATGAAAATGGAAAAATGAGACCTGTTGAAACTATTCTAAGAATCGAGGAAGGGAGAATAAAGGAGAATGATGAAGGAGTGAATTAAAGAAGATGTATTTTAAGAACTTTTGTAAATGTCACAACGTACCCCCAGTACAACAACACATACACACACACACACAGAATGACATATAACTTAAAAGAAACTATTCCCAGTGAAAAGTAAATTATTTACCAGAGGTTCTGTAAACTATTCTCCCCTAGTAAAATGATATTTAATACTTACTCTAACTTCCTCCTCTGATATTACTTGCTTTTCCCAACCTTCCTATTATTGTTATTACCACAAATAACTAATCTGGTAATTCCAATGGTACCATCATCAATTTCCTATGGCAATTCAGAATCTCCCTCTTTACAAGAGGAAGCAGCAGGATAAGAACTCAGTCCTGTTCAATGAAGCCTGAGCCCCGGATGTGGGTATCCATGAGACAAATGCAAAGGACACAAACTCAGTGCCTCCATGACCAGATGCCGGTGACATCTTCCTTCATTATGCACATCATAGGAGGAAAACCCCCAAAGCTATCACTGCACTAGCATAAGAAATAGGATGAGAGAGGTCTGATTTCTGCAAGATAAATACACTCATAAGTCAACATGGATTGCTAACAAGGCTAATGTTTAAAACTCTCCAAAATCTAGATACTTAAAAAATATACAACTCATTTTCCTTTGTCCAGTCTAAAGCAGTGTAAAGGGGAAGTATAGTAGGAGGGTAAAGCTCTCTTCATGGCCTCACTTGGCAGGAGACCCTGTGAGTAGAAGCTTGTGTGTGCTGGGCTGTGACCCAGCTGTGCAGGGCTCCATTGCAGCTGGTCTTATGCAAAGAGAGCAGGTGTTTTTTTGTTATTGTTGTTGTTGTCTGTTTGTTTTTCAGTGTTGGGAATGGAACCCAGAGCCTAATCATGCTATGCAAGTACTGTAGGACTGAGCCATACCCCTAGGCCATTGCATGTGGTTTTGAAATAAACTTGTTTCCATAGCCATATTAAAGGTGGAACACCCACTTCCAACTGCCTTGGCCCTATGAACAGATCACAGTGCAAAGGCAAATGTCAGATCCAGTCTTTATTAACTCATATGTCTAGTACTGAACTCAGGAGTCTCCATGTAACAACCCACTCTGGTAGTGGATTTATGGCAAGTGGTGCCCTCGCTCAACTTGTCCATGGTAACTTAGGTGGAACAAAGAAAAAGGTATTTCTGGGAAAATTTTATTATAAAATAACTCTTCAATAAGGGGAGAGGCCTTAGGCAAAGCAAAGACAATGCAGTGGAATTTGTAAGAGGATACCAAGCATGTAGGCACAGACATGTCAAACACTGGAAGCAGATGCACATTTGCATCTAGAACCTGTTCCAGCCATTCCTGGGGCTTGGATTTGAATCTGTGACTGGAGCTGGAAGGGCTCAGGCTCAAGTTGTACAATTACAGTTGGGCTGAATGCAATGATGAGTATGCAACTGCTAGGAATGCATCACTGTCATTCAATGATTTTTTTATACCTGTGTTATCATAAACAAATATATATTTGGTCTGTTTTGGGTTCTTGGCACAGGGCTCCTATAATTCCTGGAGATTCCAATGTGACTAATAACCCCTTTTCAAACATACATGAGCTGATACTAATGAGATGGCCCTTGGTGGGCCCCAGGACAGCTTCAGTATGGGGTCTGGACTTTAGAAAGATTATGTATGTTGCAACCTTCAGCCCCACCCCCGGCCTCTGGGCAGAAGACAGAGAACTAAGATTGAGTTCAATAACCATAATCAGTGACTTAATCATACCTAAATAATGGAACAAAAAACAAACACAAGAAACAAGAGACAATAAGAGCAAAACATTTGAAAATGCTGCTGGTGCCCAGTTTTATCTGGAAGGCAGTTCCTCTGACTTGTGGGCAGAGCAGTGAGCCCACCTCCTTCTTATCTTTTAGTAAAGATGAATGGCCAAGAGGGAAAAGACCTTTCTTTCACCGAACTGCTTCTCCAGAAGCCCTCCAAACCAATGAAATCCTCACACATAAGAGTGGAGGCTCCAGTAGCAATTCTCACTGATGGGCCTCTCCCTAGTGGCTAACATAATCTGACCACCCATGCAGCCTCATCCAGTATGCCTTGCTATGACTGTGGAATCTGCCTGCGAACTGTGGGGCTAACTCCACTGCTGCAGTCACAGAATGGTCAGAAGAACCTGGAAGAAATCTTAGTGATATAACTCTCTCTAAATGCTCCTGCCAAGTCATTTTAGAAAGACCCATGCAATGGCCGATAGGAAGAAACTACATGTCCTTTTCCACTATACCCCACACAGGCAGGCAAGCCCACTGAGACCGGGATGGGGTTGTTGGTGCTGCAGTGCACTAGTCACTAGCTGCCACCTTCCCATGGAGAAGAGAATAGTCCAAAAACCTCAGCATTACCAACAAACCTCATGGCACATGCAAAAAAAATTCTGCTTCAACAACATAGTCATTTAGGAACAACTGGGGAGATAAAATGAGTTTTGGTGATTTACATCAGAATTGCAAGAAATGTATAGGCCTTAAAGAGTACCCCAGTTAAAAATAGGAATGCTGTTATCCCCCAAGTCATGGACAGCCCCCTTCTCTTCAAAAGGTCCTTTTAGGCAGTGTCCTATCAAATATAAGCCTTCTTATATTTATTTGCATATGCCGCCACAAAGATTCTGGCACTGAGGGACACTTAGAGTCCCTCACAAAATCTGTCCAAAGGAGATCTCCCTGCCCTATACCAGAGTTGTAAGGAGCAGTCTACAGTGGTCCTCCCCTGTAAAAACAAGACTTCTGGTGTTTAACAGATACCACATGGCTTTTATTTTGTGAGATGATGGCCACTTCTCACTAACCCCTGACTCACCTTTTCCAGGGGAGGAGGAGGAGAGAATCTCTTGGCACAGGAGAGGAATATGTCAGGGGCTGGCTTGCCACTCTTCACCTCTGGATCATCTCCCAACACGATATGGTTAAACAAACTGAAGAATTCCTTGTGTCTGCTTGTCTTCATTTCGAAGGACGTGGTTCCTGAGCTGGTAGCCAATGCAAAGGGTATGTTGTGTTTCCGCAAGTGGTGGATCAGTTTTTCAGCCCCTAGGGAGGAGGGAAAGACCTTAGTGTGGTAAACAAAGTGTCTGATGGACTATAAGACCTCCTTTCCAGATATGGTTCTCCTAGATTTGTGCTGTAGTGTGGATCTGGAATGTGCCTTCAAGGTCCATGTGTTGAAGGCTAGGTTCCCAGCCTATAGCACTATTGGGAGGTGGTGGGATCTTTAGGAGGTTGGGACTGGTGAGAGAAGTGAAGTCATTGGGAGCATGTCCTTGAAGGAGACAGCAGAACCTCTACTCCTCTTTCTTTCTTTTCCAGAAGCCATGAGGTGAAGAGACCTCTTCTACTGTGTAGTCCCACCATGATGTACCATGCCATTACAGGACCAAAGCAACAGGGCCAAGTAAACATGGACTGGAACCTTTGAAACTATGATCCAAAGCAAATCTTTCTTCCTTAAAAGGTGATTTATCTCAGGTATCCTGTCTGTCACAGTGATGGAAAGCTAACAGTGTGTAACAACAGATTCTTACTACCCCTTCTGAGGAACTCTTTGATCTAGGACAGACCTTAAGAGGGGTTATGGGCTCAGGAACATCTCCACTCAAAGCAAAACAAAGCAGAAATCAAAAAAACTATTCGGGGCTTAGCTGTGGCATTTCCCAGAGCAATAAAGATGACTGCAGCAAGGAACCTCGCTGTGTTTGTTGATTCCCTCCTGTTAAATGTGGAAAACAGGCAGGCAGCAAGCACGTGAGAGGACTCCATGTGGGGTTTGCTGGGGCACCCATGGGAGGCCACATCCCAGCAGAGCCAAGGTGGGCTGCATTTTTATTCTGAAGCAATTAATATGCAAAAACTGGGCTTTTGGATTTTCTAAGATCTCTCTCTTTCAGAGAGAAATTCTGTGTGTCCTCACACTGCTGGGAAAGGACATGATAGAATGGCTACATCAGCTGATGAAAGGTTAGGGCTGAGGGCTAGCTAGCTGTACCATTGGGTCATATGGGACTGCAAGGGATTGGGGAGAAGGAAGACTTATTTTCTTAATACAGCCAAACAACAAATGAGACTGTGTGGAAGAACATTCCCACTCTGCCAGTAGCTAGAACTACAGTGAACACAGACATTATTCACAGAACCGTGTCAAAAATCACAGGACCAAGTACTTTCCACTTGTACCCAAGGCTGAGTAGGACAATAGGAGGAATAGCTAAGCCACATGAACCACTAGGGTTTATTATATTTTAAATGATCACAATCATTACTGTTTTAATAATGGTATGAGGTAATAGTTCTACTCTGTCAACAGCTACAAATAAGACTGATACAGTCTTTTTTGTTTTTAACACAACCGAAAGCATTACGGGAGTGGACAGATACTGTAAGTGCAATCTTCTGAAGAAAGTGCTAGCAGACAGTAAAATGAAGCCTGGGCAGATGCTAATTCAGTCAGCACAGAGTCAAAAGCAGCAAACAAAACGAGGCAAAAATCTTGCACTTTGCTAGATGTTAAATTCACAGTATCTAACATGTAATAAAGAATACTAGTCCTGCAGAAAAAGTGGACAAGTGCAACTTATATCCCAGAAGAAAAAGACAATCAACAGAAATACACACAGAAATGGCAGTGATGATGGAATTAGTAGACAATGACCATATAACAGCTTTAACCATTACATGTTGTCTATAGAATCCTAATTGAAATATAAATACACAAATACATTAAACATAAAGAAAGAAAACATGTCTTATATAAATGCATTTGCTAAGAGATTCGGGGTACCTGTGGACCTAGATCAACAAATAAACATTATCAGGGATACACAGGGACATTAAATAATAACAAACAGGTCAATTCATCAACACAACATAATACTTCTAAACATGCATGCATCAAGTAAAATAGCTTCAAAATAAATAAAGCAAACACTAATAGAACTGCACAGAGAAACAGACAAATATACAGAGGCTCCTAAAGCCTCTCTCAGTACTTGGTAGAATAACTAGACAGAAAATCAATAAAGATACAGCAGACTTCAAGAAAAGTATTAAGCACTATGATCTACTTTGCATTTCTATATTACAACAAACAAAATTCACATTATTTTCAAGTCTACAAGGAACATTCAACAAGACAGAACATACTATAATAAAATATTGTTCTTTTTTTTCCCTCTTTTTTAATTGTTGTGGTAGGTGGGGATACATTGTAGCATTTACAATACATCAAATATATCGTATATATTTATATATTCACCTCCTCCACCATTCTCCTTTATCTTCCCCTCCCCCATTCTTGGGACAGTTTTAGTAGGTATTAGAACATAATTCTTAAAAATTTAAAAGAACGGAAATCATCCTGAATATGTTCCATGACTAATAAAAGTTAAATGTGTTATGAATTATAGAAAGGTGTTTGGAAAATCACAAAAACATAGGTATTAAATAATATACTTTTATATAAGACATGGGGTCAAAGATGAAATTGCAAAGGAAACTAGATCCTATTTTGTAAAGAACAAAAACATATCTAATTATGTGAGATGTAAGTAACTATAGCACTGCTTGGAAGAAAACCAATAGCATTTAATACTATATTTAGAAGGGTCTGAAATCAGTGATTTCAATTGCCACATGAAAAAAACTGGAAGATCAGTGGTGATCTATGCTTTCTCCTTAAAAAAATTAAGTGAAAGAAAACCAAAACAAACAAAAAGAATGGAGTAATAAGACGCCAACAAATAAAAAAACAGAATAGAGAAAATCAATTACAATGATGAAGAAAAAGAAAACAAGATACAAATTTATCAATATAAGTAATGAAAGAGGGGACATCAATGCAGACTCTAACATCATTGAAAGGATTAAAAAAAAACCAATACTACATGCAACTTAATGTCAGCAAATTGACAACTTGAGTGAAATGGAGTAATTCTTTGAAAGATACAAAACTCACTCAAGACACTAATAAAGTGAATAGCCCTCCATCTAATAAAGTGAATTTATAATTAAAAACCTTTTTGTATCTAGGATCAGATGGCTTCACTGGTGAATGCACCAACCACCTGAGAAAGAAATAATAGTTCTATCAAACTTTCAGGAAACTGGAGAAAACACTTCCTAATTCTTTTTATACGGTATTAGTACTGCACTGATAGGAAAACCAAACAAAAGCCAGAGTAACAACTTCAGGTCCATTTATCTCATGAACACATAAACATACCTTCACATGAAAACAATATTCAACTGAATACAAAAGAATTCACACTGAAGAGTTTCTATGGAGCCTGTGTCATTAAAAATATTAAAATATCAGACCATTTAATTAGCTTGTAACAAAACTAATTAATATAATGCAAGATTAAATTCACTAACTACATTGCAATATAAACCTTACATAACTAGTGAATAGGCTGAAAGAATGGTTAAAACAAAAATATATAAGATAATGTACTTCTGTCTGTATATACAAAATATTGAAAGCTCAGTATCAAAATTACCTGAATTTAAAACAAGATTTTCAAAGTATGATCTTATGCAATTTTAAATCAACAGTTTAAAAAAATAATGGAGTATATTTAAATACGTGGCTCAGTGCAAAAACACACTATATTCTTGTTAAAGCTCTTTGGTTGTATAAATTTTAATAATATTAATATAATTCATTTTGCTTTAGTTTATTCTTTTAACATTTTTGTTCTGTGACAATTTTGCAAGATACTAATGTAAAGAGTATAAGAGGAACATACATAACAAATACACGAAATCTGCATTTTGTAGTGTATGTAGACATTTTTATTGAAAGGGGAAAAAAATCAAAAGTGCTTGAATGACTGTGTTTGGGACACATGCTGTGTTTGGGACTAGTATGAAAATAAAAGGCATGATAATGATCTGACTGTGGTCCTAAGGCTATGGGGCAATTAGATTTCCTCTTTGGGACTCAAATATCTTATCTGTCAAGCAGCAGTGATTAACCTTCCTTATGCAGCTGCTGTGAGGTGATGGGTATAAAGGGCAACACATACCAAATGACAGGCATGAGCACTTTCCATGCATGCAAGAGGCAGCCAGCATCATTATCACTGGGTAAAACTTCAGTAATAAATGATTTTTACCTTATGAGCAATTGGCTGATTCCTTCAGAAACTTACAACCATTAAATATTGTACAGCAATTTTTTTCTTATTCAGTCCCTCTCCCTGAGAAGGGCTGTAAAAATGTAAATGGAGTTCTGTCCTAGGGAGAAGCTGGTTAATTAAGTATATAAATGAAATTCTGCTAACAGCTCCCAGCACTTGGTGTGCTTAAGTTCATTTATGGGAAGGGCAGGTATCTATTGCTATGATGCATCAGCTCTCCCAGGATTAATCTCCCAGGAAAGAAATAGGAAATGTGAAGAATCAGCAGTCTCCATACATTACACATCGAGCTTCTATTTTACTTTATCCCAGAGACCCAAGATGGCAGAAAACAAGGATGCTGAAATTAAGTTGGGTTAAAAAAGGGAAATGCAGCAAAGATGAGAGCAGACTTGAGTTGTTTAGTGTTTTCTTAGCATTCACTCAGTGGATGCAGTCATCAAAACACTACTAGCTGGGGCATTATCTGCAATATCTTGCCCTGAAATCAGAGACCTGCAGAGAAGGAGAGAAGGAAGCAAGGGCTATGGGGGAGATGAGAACATAAAAGTGGAGGAGACTGTTCAGAGACTGTCCACACCACTGTTAACACTCTGTGTGCTGAGAATCACACAGTGAGTCTTGTCTGGAGTATCTTTGAGGCATAAGATGTAATGGGATCAGTTGATGAATGCCACCTAGCTCCCCTCAAAATTAAACCTACATGATGCTTTCCAGGGATAGTATTCAACATGTGGCCTTTGCTCACCTTCAACCTCTTACTCATATATCCTGACAGTAGTCCAGTCACCTCAAATTTTTCCATCATGTAAAGTTGTTTGCCACACCACCTTTCTTAGAAGGTGACTTCTCCAATGGCCTGAAAAGCTAGCTGACTAACAGCTTAATGCTCTGTTA